CACTTCAGAAGATATCTCTAGAAGATATTCCCTTCTTCTCCATACAGATATCCTTTATTAGACTCTAATTTCCTCAATTCTCCCAAACCTCTTCTCCACCTAGTCTTCCTATACCTTAATGTCAAAAATCAATTCTTGGCCCTCAGCCCCAAGACCACATATTTCTTACCTCATGGAACCTAGAGAAGTAATAGTACCTTGGTAATTAATCATATGTTGCCTTACATTATTAAGTTAATCAATATGAGACTTGATTATAACACAATGAAATTGAGTTCCACAAACTTCACTCTAAATCAATATCATTTCATACCATTAAATAAGAGTCAAAACTGGTGGCTGTGGATAAGATTCAGCTTCAGCTTTATGTGGCCATAGAGCCTTTGTTATTTTAGATTTGAATTTGAAGAATCTGAACATCTTGTGGCAGGGGAGGGGGTAGAATTACACTCTCCATTTCATCTCAGTGCCCATCCCTCACCATTATTTCAAACCCCACTGCTTCTGACAGTCACAGATCCTGCCTGGTCCTGAAGGCATTTGAGTTTGCAACAACTTTTGATAGGCACGCTTGAAACATCTCCTTGCCCTAGTAAGTCTGGAAACTCCAGGAGGGCACAGGTTGTATCTTACACTCCTTAGCATGACTTGTCCCTTACCCCACAGGGCCCAGCACAATACTGAGCACATAGTAGAAGCTTAAGAAATACAAGTTGAATGAATCCATTCAAGGCTGTGGAATCAATTTAGTTAATTGTCAGGGCTGAGAGACTGGATGTCTCAATGAACAAAGGATGTCAACATTCACCTGCGTTGAACTTCCCTTATGCAATGACAAATGAGCCTTCATGAGGATGAGTTCTCACCACGAATCCAGCGCTGCCAGCAATGACACCTATTACATATAGTCTTGTTCCTGGAAATCATCCCACTAAAACAGGTGTGATCAGTTCAAGATACCAATTTAAATGAGTGTCAGTTCCTAGAAGAAAAGGAACAGGGATATTTATTTTGGGGTGGGGGTGAACAGCTTCTGAAAAATGTTATTTACAAACATGATATTCCAATGATAGGAAATAAGAACAGAAAGCATCTCTCGTTGGCCTACACAAGAAGTGGTTAACCTGGTTCCAACTTCTGTCAAGAGAACTTAGTTGCCCTGTCACTCTACTGAAATGCTCTGAGTTCATTTTTTTCAAACTCCTTAGGTTGAATTATCCAACATGCACCAGCCTCAGGGATAATCAGGTGACAACCAAGTGGCAGAAAGTGGAAGACAGAACATGAGGTTTGGAGACAAGACCAGGGTTTGGAAATTGGCTCTGACACTCAACTTTTTTGAGCCTCAGTGTCCTTAGAGAAAAAGTACTTCCCTCAAATAATTGAGTGAGATGAGAATAATAACAGCTGACACTTACTAAGTGGTTATTTTATGCCAGGCACTGACTTAATGTGCTTTAAATGTGTTAACTCATCTACTCACAGCAACATTATGAAGTTGATACTATTATTGCCTCCATTTTACACAGAAGGACACTAAGGCACAAAGAGGTTGTTATTTGCTCAAGTCACTCAGCCAGGAAATGGCAGAACCAGGACTCAAATCTAGGTGCTCTCACTCCAGAACCCTCAGTCCTAACACCTACACTCTCATGCCCTTGTGAAGCGCTTGATACAGTTGCCTGGCAAACTGAGGCACTAAACACGGTGAAATGAAAAAATGAGAGAAAGAGAGGGAGCAAGAAGAAGGAAAAAACCTTTACTCCACTTCTTGACTTGGATTTCAGGTCTCCCAAAGTTATACAGTGAGGTTTTTAAAAGACTGTAGCTCTCCCAAGCCCCTCAACGTTGCCCTGTCCTGGCCTCCTCTGTGGAAGAACCTGGAATAAATCACTCCCCACACTCACTCAGGCTAAGCAGGATGTGCAGTAACATACCTTGGCTGGTTCAAAAGCATCCTCAGACGATCACAAACGAAAGGCCCAAGATCCACAATGGATATTTCAACTCTCTTACCTTAGAGCAAATTCTTCGCCTGGCCAGAGGTCTTCCTTCTCCCTCTTCATTTTAAAATCCTAATCCTGGTGACTCAGCAGCCTAGCAGCCCCCAAATCCCTTCGCCATTTCTGGGGCAGGCCATGATGGCCCTCAGTGCTGCCATCTCAGAGTTCCTGGTGCCAAGATAAAGATTAGCCACCCCTGCCATGTGACCCTCCCATACATACAGAGCAAACCCAGCCATACATTATATTGTATTCTGTCTGTCCTGTTGGCCCATGTGTCTGTCCTACTGGAGAGGAGGCAAAGCTATGCTACCACAGAGCCACAGAGAGCAAATGAGCCCCAGCAGGTGATTCTTATGGGTAGATGAGGAGGGTTGATATTACACTATGGGCTACATGGTACTTTTAAAACAAAGATAAAAAGGAAAGAAAAATATATACTTACAAGAGTGCTGGAGGATCACTCTAAAAAATACATTATCCTGAAGGGAAAATTTCAGAGGGGGAGCTCCTCTGCTGAAGAAGTTCTGACAACCCCGCCATCCTGAGAAGGACCCATTTGCACCAGGGAAAAGCTCTAGTCCTAGGCATGACCCTATTTGTCGAATTTTCTAGTTCTGTTCATCAGAGGGAAGCACAAGCTCTTTCCTCTGATGAACAAAGCAACTATTGCTGTCCCTAGACCCGTGCGGAGGAGCCAAGGGAGCAGACCCAAAGAGCCAGAGGACTGCAGCTCTTATTGTCAGCAGGGTTCCCGTTACATGGGAAGAGGAGGGGCTTCTCTCCAAGATTTGCACATTCCCAAGGAGTGCTGGGATGGGTCCCCTATTCAGAGAAGGAAAGTAGTCCCATCAGGCAGTGCTAGTAGATTCATTGGTCACACATGGACTAGGGGGCATGTCCTTTCCTCAGCTCCCTCAGAGAGGCCAGAAGACTCCTTTAATGGAACTCATCCAGTAGAGCCATGGCTATTATTAAGAGTGGCCAAGCATTCAGGGGCTAGGCTGAACTTGCACACATAACCCATCCATCCTCTCCAATTATACATTTAAAACCAACCACCTTCTTTTATGTTAAACATATCACGTACACTCTCATTTTTTTAAATCTTATTTATATTCAGGGTCTATAGGCTTCAGCTAACTTTGGGTCAGTCAGGTGACCACAGAGAAATGGTCTCATTGTATGGTGGCTTTTGCTTGGAGGGCCCAGGCTCCACAAAGGAGATTTTCCCAGGAGCCACCGCAAACTCAGACCCTGCAAAACATGCGTGTAAAATAGGGTCCAGGCTTTCGCAGATCTGCAGCTGTGAAAGTCCAGAAAGGAATAATAAACTGACACAAGACAGGTGGGAATTTTTATTGTTTAATGACACAGATCTTCTCAAAGTAATCCAAACCACAATACATCATAAAATTATTCACGTTATTATATAATCCCAAAGCAAAATACCTCATCTGCAATCCCGGCCCCAATATAATTCCTCAAAACTGAAATAATTCCTTGCGAAATAATAAGGTAAAATAGGAATAATTTAAACAATAGAGTTAGCAGATCAGAAAGGGAGAAAAAGGCAGATCTGTGAAAAAAACTAAAAAGACTTTAAATAAGAACGAGCATTTAAGATCTTATCCCTAAACTGAATTAAGATCAACCATGCCAAAAAAAACTGAATAGTGAATGTTACAGTGTGTATTTGAACTATAACTGACGTGGAATACCAACTCATTAGAACGGATTTCCTTCAGCTGCTTATATCCTTCTTTGTAAGGGGCCCTTTTCTGAGAATTGTACCATAGTCTTAATGTAATACAGTATTTTTTATTTTTGATGACTACTTAGATGTCAACATAACAAATTAACAACTATAGTTTCAGACACACTGAGAACATATAAGCAGGTGTAACTTAACCATGTTGTCTGTTTTCCAAAAGTGGAAGGCTTATTGCAATATATACCTTTACTTGGCTGAAATTCTGAGAAAAGGATAAATGAGTTTTGTTTTACTGCTTTTGTTTTTGGAGGGTTTTTTCTGCTTTAACTTTTAATTTTGTTTTTCTAATATACCTAATGAACCAATTCCTGTGGTCATAATGAGAAAAGAAAACTTGACTCTCACTGAATCTTGTAAAAACCAAAAGGGTTTTAGGGTGTGTAGAGGAAAGCACTCAGGTTATAGTATGAAGGAAAGATGAAGGTTTCCATTCTCAGGCCCCTCTTCTCTGGTCTCTGAAGACAAAGGTGCCTCCAGTCCCCCTCATCCCATCCCCATGCTCTTCACCCTCCCTGAAGCCATGTGAACATTTCATAAATGCACCCTTCTAACTAACTTTAAATCTGGTTTTGGCAGTCATATTTGCAGAGCCTATTTACTTAAAGTAGTTCTTTCAGAGAAATATTTGAGGAAGGTTTTGTTCCTCATATAAATTTATTAAGAACTGCTGGGAAAAAGGAGGGGTAGGTGACACAAGGAGTAGTTGAAACTACAGTGCAAAGAAATGAGCCTCCTCCTACAAATGTATAATAGAAATGGAACCTTGAAAGCAAGATCTGAATTCTCCAGATGTAATTACTCTCTCTTCCTAGGTTTTCAGTGGATTTCATGTAAATCAAGCCTAACACTAAAGAACAAACAAACAAATAACAGACAAAACTCAGATTTACCAAAAAGAGAAAATCAGGTTGACAGTCTTTTCCTGGAGGATTTATCAGGTTATTCATCTAAATAGCAGCTTCCTTTAGCTCATGAAAGATGTAAGTTGATTTAGAAAGACAGACAGTTGGGGCGGAGTGGGATTGAGGCATGGGGGATGGGAAAGAACTTGTCAAGAACACATCCACTGCCCAAAATGAGGAACACCTGACATTTTCGTTGGCATTCTAAGTGCTCTTCAAATGAAAAAGCACCTACCACTCAACTATTGTTATTTTCTATTCCAAGCTCAAAACAAACACACAAGCAAACTAAAACACAAATTTTCCAGCTTGACAAGAAAATATGAGCCCCAAACACCAAACTCTTTAATCAATGACTCTTACCTGGGTACAAAAGACTGAGTACAGGGTTTGATTTAAAGGGGATTAGATACTGGTAACTCGACACACATAACAAAAATTGTTGTCCATTTCTCTAAGGATGTGTCAGATGATTCGATGAGGGATTTCTTCCTGATGCTCCTCCAGCTTTCATTCCCTTTCCCCTGTGAAATGTGAAACTTCACATACTACACGTGGTACTGAGAAAAAGAGCATTAATCAACACAACCAAGGAGAAGATTTCACTCTGTCCTCATCCTGGCATGTAGCTCTACCTTGTGCTCACTGGATTTCTGAGCCCCTTCTGCATTCCCAGAGCAGAATGAGGCAACCTTAGGTTAGCATGACAATGCAGCTGTGTAACCTTGGACAAGTTACCTGACCTCTTTGTATAATACCAGGATGATAATAAGCAAAGGATCCGCCTCTGAGTGTTACTGTGAGGAGTTAGTACAGTCCTTGGCACACAGTAAATGTGTAGAAACTTCTAGGTGTCCTTGAGCTGAACTGTTAAAAACATCCAAATCAATTCTATTCTACGGAAAAATTTTTTTTGAGCATGGAGGGAGTCAGTATGGGATTGGGGGGTGTTCCAAGCCCCCCATCCTCAAGGCACTCGAAGCCTACTGCAGAGATTCTCAATCGTAAATGCGCATTAGAATCTCCTGAAGAACTTTTATAAAATTACTGATGCCAGGCACCACCCGCAGAGATTCCAATTAAATTAGTCTAGAGTGGGGCCTGGGCATCAGTGTTTTTCACCGCCCACCCCAGGTGATTCTAATGCTTACTGAGGACTGCTGACCCAGGAATGCGCCTTGTGATTTGGGTGCATGGTCACTGCTTGTGTGGTCTGTTGGACTCTGAAAGGACCAGGAGCTCCTGGGATGAAGGGAATGCGTCATTATCCATCGCATCAATCCCCACAGGCCACCAAATGCCAAATCCCTCAGAAGCTGGTGACCAAATCAGAGAGGGAGAGCCCTCAAGGTTAGAGCTTGGAATCTGTAGGCTGGTGTGCTTTTTGCTTTGGTTGTAACAGAAACGAAGGGGCCCTTGCGGGAAGAAGTAAAATGGCTCCTGCCTGCCTAGCAGAGACAGGTGAGGTTGGAAGCCATACCAGCCACTACCTCCCCAGCTGGAGGCCTAATGAGCTATGACAGAATCAGAAACTAGCACTTCAATTAATTTCTGTCCTGTATTTTTTTCTTTTCCTGGTTTATTTCCTTTTTGCTAGTCTTTAATTTTAGAGAAGTTTTGTGCTACAATTCTTGTCTGTGTCTAAGGAAATCCAGGCCTGAGTGTCTTGTCCACTCTCCAGCTGGGAACATTACAAGTGGACTAGCTCCCACTGAAGACCAGCCACAGTGGTAGAAGCTGTGATCACAGGGAGCTGCCCACAGGGATGGAGAAATCAGTGGGCCAGAGTTGGTGCCATTTGGTCAGTGTCCCCTCCCTTCACAGAGACTTCCCTTCCAGTCCTCTGTCCCCTTCTTGGGAGGGTTTTCATAAGGAAAACCAACTACAATACAAGGCTGAAGGAAAGGAGTAGTAAGTGGAGGCAAGAGGAGAAACAGAAAGCAGAGGGCCTGACTCTACCTGAGGGACCAGGAGCTTTCACAGAAGAGGGCCTTGTAAGCCCATCTGTGAACATGGAATCTCAGTGAGTCCATACCAGACATGGGCAGTCAGCTCACACACTTAGGAAGGGCCACAACACAGCGGCAATCACGCCTTCCAGGAGAACTAGGGATAATCTCGGGGGGGGGGGGGGTGTTTATGGGAGTTTTTTGTAGTAAAATTCACATAACATAATTCACCATCTTCAAGTGTACAAGGGATAATCTATTTTATACCAAAATTACCAAATCCCAAACCATCCTGAATAAAGAGAAATCGATGTATTCTAACTTCTTCTACCCATTTCTTCCACCCACTCCCTGGTCAGACAACTGAACTCACTGTTTTTGGTCCAAGAATCCCTGACCTTTTTGTGTTAAGAATCTACTTTTTCATTTCCCCCGAATCTTCAGATCACTACAAATCAGGAGAGGAAAGCGGATGGACAGTGAAAGAGCAGAAGTGGAAAAGAGAAGAGACAAGAACTGGTGCTGAAAGCAGGAGCAAGTCCTTGAGAAAAGGGGACAGGGAAGGGGACATGTGGTGGAGACCCACTGGGTCCTCTGCCCAGTGCTCCTCTCTGGGCCTATCTTCCCGACCACAGGGGTGATTCAGCTGTCTTGCTTTAGCTGCCTGACCTTGCTTGTTTGGATATTCCCTGGATTCACTGAGACATTCAGCATCTTTCTAATAAATGCCCTGTTTGCTTAAGATGAGCCAAAATCACCTGGGTTTTTTTAGTGCCATAAAAACCTTCATTAACACAGCCCTCCAGGCCCTGGCCTCACCAGGACTCCAGGACTCAAGAAGGGGAGGTAGGAGGAGGATGGTATGGAGAGCTTCCAGACAAGGCCTACGAGTAGATTCCAAACCATTGGATGGGACTCGTGTTATGTAGGAAACCCATTTTCTAAGACAGAATTTACTAATTTTTTTTTCTTACCTCTCTATCCCCTCACACCAGTGTCCACATATCAGCTGGTTTAGGGCTTTACGTAACTTGATGTTACCCATGTTGAAATTCAGTGCAATTGGCATTTGGTAATTATGTGGGCCCTGTTCCCTAAGTGGTAATTATGTGGGCTATGTTCCGTATAACCACGTAATAATGCGTAGATGACTGTTTTGGCAACTGGAGATTAAGCGGCCCGGAATCCATCCTTTAATCTACCAAGCAGAACATTCTAAGGTAGAAGCCTGCAAAATGGGCAATTACTGAGCTGTCCTCCACATTCCTGTGTGCTGAAGGTGGGAGTCCTGGCCAGCCCTGGGGCAAGGCGATTTATGCCCCAAAGCATGAATGACCCTCAAACCAGACTTTCAAGAGCCTGACTACAGTGGAAACCTAGTATGTCATTCCACATTCTTTCATTGTTTAAAAAGACTCATAATTATTTTGATGTTGCTAGAATGAGGGACTACACAACACAACACCATAGGATCCTTGTGGCAGACATTCAAGGACAATGTCTACAAACTCTGTGTGGGTTCCAACGGGCTCTGCTCTGTCTTTCTCCTCAGGGCTCTCCTATCACATGCTCCAGGTTTGAAGAAGCAACAGAATGTAATGGTTAAAAGCACGGTCATTGAACCTAGACTACTCATGTTCATATTCCTACTGTGCCATCACATTCCTAGCCATGTCACCTTGAGCAAGACCCCTAGCATCCCTTTGCCTCAGTTTCCCTATCTGTAAAATGAACTAATGATAGTACTTACTTCATAGCGTTGTGAGAATTAAATATTAACTCATTTAATACAAGTGAATTATCTGGACCAGTTTCTGACACTCAGGAAGTACTTAGTAAGGAACAGCTATTATTATTCTGGGCTTGAGTTAGGAAGGAAAAAGAAGAGAATACCTGGGAAATTATGATACGCCACAATATAGCCAAATACTTGCCACATATCTGAATTCTAGAGTTGCCTCATGACCTCATTCAACATTCACTCATAAACAACATTTACTGAGCACCAACCACAGTGGCGAGTCATCTGATGGAAGGACAGCAGGAGGGTGCTGGGGGGCAGTTAGATTCTGGTTCAGGGCCCACACCTAGTATGTGTGGTCGAATTCACCTGAGTTAAATGCAATTCCATGGTAGTGCACTAACTGCTGGCTGGAAAATAGGGAGCAGGACAGCCAGAGTTCCTGACCTCGTGAAGGTTTCATTCAAGTAGAGGGGGCAGCCTTTAAACAATCAACCCATACAAAAATATAACAACAAACTGTGTCATACTTTACAAGAGAAAAGTGCAGGGTGCTAAAAAGTATACCTCAGAGTGGGAGGGAGGGTCATGGAAAGTCATGAGACCTGAAGGATAAACAGAAGTGACTGAACAGGGTCAGGAGGAAGTATTCCAGACAGAGAGCAACACAGGCAAAGTCCCCAAGGCAGGAAAGAGATTGTGTTCAAGGAACTGAAAGAGGGGCCATTAGATTAGGAGTGAGAGAGAGAGAGAAAGAGAGAGAGAGAGAGAGAGAGAGAGAGAGTTGTACAAGATGAGACAGGATTCCTGGCAGATACACGTATGTGCTGTCGTTATTATACCACATGAAGGAAGAACGTGGTTCTTAGATCTCCTCCACGTCTCCTGTGCACCACATTTTCTAGTTACTTCATATTGACAGTAGGAAATTGAAATTGTTTTAGTAAATCAAAAAGAAGGACTTAAGCTGCTTACTTACATAAGACAGCAGCTCAAAAATATCTCTGTTCATGCACTGGGTATTTCTTCAGATGGTAGCTGGGTCTTTCAAGGATATAATTTACTTCAGAGATAGAATCTTTCTATAACAAAAATAAATCCAGCAATTACATTACTCATAATGTAATATATATCAACGATATCCAGATGTGTAGTTTTGCATGTAAAAGGTCTGTGAATCCCATATATGCTGTATATGTGGGGTTCACCATATATGCGTGTACATACATTCACCTCCCTCCTTCTTTCTCTTTTTCTTCATTTTAAAGAGATTCCCTTACTTGAAAAGACTAGGAATTAAAAAGCACAGCCAATGACTTTGCTGAGAGGAAGTAAAGTAATTCACTGCCCCCATGGTCAGGGAAATCAATATTTATTTATAAGTGTCATCGTATAAATCTAGGATACGTCAGCATTTAAATAAGTCAAGATGACCAATTCAACTACATAGTATGGTTAAATCCAACCACTGTGGGCATGTTAACCTTTCATTTAAATTCTTTTGAAATGGTAACAGGTCACTTAGCTAACGGCTGTACACTGCAGTAGAAAAAGTCCTGGGTCAATCTGTCTATAGGTCAGAAACACTCCCCACCCCCTTAAAAGTCAAACAGCCAAAAACACCTTATTAACTTTTAGTAAAAACATAATTCCATGTTATGGCCTTACATGGACCACACACACTTTGCTGGATTCTTCTCTGCATTGGGACTCCTGTGCACAGTGGAAGGGAATGTGCTACAGGCCAGTTAGACTGTCTTCTCTCAGTCCTTTGAAAGGACCACACTCCCTTCTGCTGCAGGACCTCCACTTGATCATGCTGTGCTCCCAATTAGCTGCTACTCATCACTCATGGTCAAGCTCCATTGTCTCTTCTTCAGGGAAGCTTGCCCTGACTCCCAAGCACGTCAATACTCCCTTCCATACACTCTCAGGACACCATGTACCCCACAATTTTACATTTCTTTCTGTGGTTACTTGATTAATGTCTGTCACCCCCACAGACTGGAAGTCCCAGTTCCCATATTATTTTGTCAGCAAAGACATAGTTTTATCAGAAGCCCTAACCTCGTCTGGGTGCTGCTGAGCTCTGTGGGATGTCAGAAGACTGCATACCCTTTCATGGATCTTCTTCCATGTAGACTGAGAATTAGGATGGAACCTGCACAACAGATTAAACAGGGTGGAGTATTATGCGGCTACTAAAATGGATACTTAGAGTACCTAACAGTAGGGGTTGATATATATAACTGAATAGTAAGAGAAAACCAGCAACACGCAAAATGGTATATGTAGTGTGGTTTCAGTGTCTTTACTGAACCTACCCATAGCAAAAACATTGAGGAATAAAAACAACCAAGCTGTTCAGAACGGTTTGTGTTTGGGTGTGTGGCTGTGAGTGATTCTTTCCTTCTATGTACTTTACTGTGTATTTCAGACATTTCTCCAAAGAATAAATCCTGCTTTAACATTTAAAAATTTAATCCCAAAAGTTTTAATTCAAAATTTAATCCTAATTATTTTCCACCACAAGGATTTCATTTTATATCTCATTTACCTTAGGCCATCCAGACCCAAACTTAACCACAGGTCTTACAGTGTCTTTCAGTTCCTCAACATAAAGTGTTTTCTCCCTTCCACTGGCATCTGCAACAATGCTCCCTCTGCCTAGAATGCTGGACACCCCCATCTTCATCCCCACTTGTGTTAACTCCTACCCACCCGTCAGAGCTCAGTTCAATTACTGATCTCTCAGGAAAGTCCTCCCTGAACCCCCTCCCGTCGAGGAATTCGGCTTCCCTGTTATGTGCACTTAGAGTCCATTTACCCCTCATTCATAGCACTTCCCCCAGTAGACATTCTGTCACACTTTCATTAACGTCTGTGTCTAGTCCTAAACTGAAATTGGGACTGAGACTCTGGTTAATAGCTCATCCCTGGGCCCAGCAAGTATTGAATACCACAGCAGGCATTTAATAAATACTTCTTGAATGACTGAATTCATCCATTCCTTCATTCATTAATTTTGGGGAGCGGAGTGAGTACCAAATCCTAAATTCTGAGGCAGAATTAGCAATTCGATCATGAAAAGCACAAATATTGAAAATGCCTAATGAATTTGAGCAATTTGGATAAAACTGTTCTCTTTAGTGTACAATAAACATTGGAAATGACAGGAACATTTGGGAGTCAATCCAGTTGTTATTCTGGCCACCACACTAGTGAACCCGTGTGGCTGCCCCTCTGTTTGGTTTGGGACCCACATCCAGGCCACCTATGCCAACTCTCTCTGTAACAAGCACATCTCACTGGTTTCCAGGGAGACAAGACCACAACTCTGACTGGATCTACACAAATCCATTACCAACCCAGGAAAACAACGCACAGCAAATGAAAGCACCACCTAAAGCACGGCCCATGTTTAAGAAAAGACAGGCGTGTCATTTCTATACTCCTCTAAGAATTTTTAAGAGGAAGGAATAGAAATATTTTGAAGCTACAAATAGCATTTAAAAATAGCCATCAGCTAGACACTGTAAGTGCTTTTTCATAGGTCTTGAGTAGCCAGCGGCAAAACGATTCCTACATTTGTTACCAATATTATTATATACTGTCAATATCACATTTGAAGCTCTTTGAGAACGATGAGTCAACACATCGGAGCAGACTGTGCCTTTATTACAGCTTTCACCATCTCCAGATGGTGGAGACGGGGAACAGGCTCGAGAGAGTTCCTCCCTCCTTTGGGACTATCATTTCTCACCCTTTTAAAAGGATTCTCCACTTCCTCTATTAAAACCCTGGGCTGATTCACTCCAAAATTTGTCTCCCAACTCATCCCTGCAACCTCGGCCCTCACTGATTTCAGTACTAAGCTAGCAGAAACTCAAAAGGTGTTTCTCATGCGCCCCTGTGATCTGGGCACAGGGAGACTGGTCCCAATGGCTGATGTAAAAAGAACAGTTAGTGACGTGGGGGCAAAGTGCTGGTGGCACCTAGTGTTCCAGGGGCCACCTCTGTTCTCATGCTGAAGTTGACAAAGAATGGATTCATCCCCCAAGGATACAAAGGGATATCCTTCATTCAAAGCATCTTAAAAATATTATCTTCAGTGCTGCTTCCCTGGAGTTAAGGTGACCAACTGTCCTGGTTTGCCTGGGAATAACGGGTTCCCCAGAATGCAGGATTGTCAGGGTTAAAATCAGGCACAGGCACTTTTATACCTGTGAAATCAAAAGCTTGAGTTTTTAAATTTATGACACATAAAAATGGATAGATAAATAGTATTGATGTCAAGTTAGCCATCTGTCCCATTTCCAACAAACATCCTGAGATATGCTTTCTAGAAGCAAGAGAAAATGCTCAACTCTTACTTTTGGGAATATTTTTAAAGGAATGATAATTTTTCATATCAAAGGGTCACCAGCTGAATATTTCTAAAGAAGCAAACTGATGAAGTGACCTGGCTTTACTCCTGCCAGACGACAATACACCCTTGAAGCAAAGAGATGGGCACTTGCCACTGACCTTTCTCGGAGGAGGGGCTGATCCCGAAGAGGGCTGGGAGATCTGGAGTGCTGGGAGGTAGCAAATGAAGTTTCCCGGTGGAAATCGGCATCCCCTTGGTTACTGTAACTGGGTGAGGGCTTTCCAAACTTACTTGAACCTAAAGGTGATGGTGATTCATTCCTTAAAACAATCCGTTCATCTGGCTCTTTGATAACCTGGGTGACAATGTGCGTTATTCTTTAGTTGTCATTTTGTTTCTATTTGCTTAATTTAGAACTGGGGGTGAGGTAGGATGAGGAATAAGACTGGGGACAAAATGACAAGACTACCTGCCCCAGGGATCTCCTGCAATGCACAAGGGGTGGGAGTAGAGAAGACCAGAGACAAGGTCAAGGAAAGATACCCAAAATTCTGTACGTTGGGCATGTATTAACAAGCCCAAAAAACGTATGCTCTTAACTTTGAATTGTGAGGACTGGGGTATTGAGTTTGGGAGAGAGAGAATTTTTAAACAAAATATTTAAATGCTATGGCATAAGAAGCACAGTATACTCGTTTTTTTTGGCACACATCTATTCTCAAGTTGAAACATAAAAGTTTGCACCTTTACCTTGACAAACCAATCAAACTTCAAGAACAAGTGATTTACCACCTCTATGTATAAAGGTATTCGATTAGAGAAAAAGCAAAAAAAACTCCCTACTGATACGGTAGGTATTGGGCCTACATGCACCCTCATTGGTGATTCATCCTACAAACGAAAAGAGCTTATATGAGGGAAACAAACCAATCAAAGCAAAGCAAAGTACACAATGGAGCCTGGGAACCTCTTAAACTCTAGTTAAACTAAAGCAATTCCATAAGCAGCACTAGCTGGAAATACACTTTCCACCTCTCATTGGACAAAGCACAATAATTGACATTAGATAGCTGGAAATAAATCATTTTATAAATGCTACTTCTAAAATTACCTTTACGTTAGCTGCAAGGCTGTCAAGAGAAGAAGCTAGAAGAAAGAGGAACAGGTGTTTCAATGACTCATTATTACCAGTTATCCCTAAAACTGCTGTTAACATTTATTCTACAGCAGTACAAAAATATTACACAATGAATGAATTATTAAAGAACTTAAATGCTCCTTTGTAAATTACACTATCACTTTTAAGTCTTCCTTGAGTCACAGCAATTCTATCTATGAGTTTTTCTGTCCTCTTGAAGTCAACAATGAGGTTATATTATTGATGACAGCACATATCGATATGAGAAGGGTAAAAGAGAATCTAAAGTGAAGCAGTAAGTTCAGAAACCCTTAAGTAGCCTGGAAAACTCATATATGCCCAGGTGTCCAGAGCCTAAAAGAAAGCCATGTGGCTCTAATATAAAATTCATATACTCTGCCTCTTCTACCATTTCCTTAATGTTTGGTTTTCATGGAATCTGATTTATGTAGGAACTCTTAAATTCTTGTATACTTGCCCAAGGTAGACACAAATGTTAAGTTGAGACAATGAATATATAAGAGCTTAGAGAAACACAATACAGCAAAAATGTAAATCATCATGATTACTCTAATCATAATAAGTAAGTAGACCTAATGCCAGAGAATGGTAAGAATGACTAGGAAGTGAAGTAGTAAATACACATAGACAAAACCAAGACTACATTGGATTTTTCCAGGTTGAGAAAAAAATGCGTTTGAAATGAGTATTTGCAAGGCTATGCTAAGGCCACCATGGCTTCCCCCAGTGTGACCCGGGCTTAAGCAGTGACAAAGGGCTTTTCCCAGACTGCTGATTCCCCTGTGCCACTGGCAGTAAGAAGGAAGATATGAAAAGAGATTTGTACAGCCTGGTAATTGTCATATCCTCTGGGCGTGCACGGATGTGTGTATCCATCTTGTCCCAGATGCTCTCTTCTCCCAGCTGAGCAGAGAATGAGCGATGCTAATGCTCTTTTCAGCCATGGCCACAAATCTGCCTCATGGCCTCGTAACCCCCTGGCCACTGGTTTTGGGCACTTCTTTTCACAGGGGGCTTGCCTTTGTTCCCTTGCTTCTCAAAGTGCAGTCTGTGGACCAGCAGCATCAGTATCACCTGGAAGCTTGTTAGAGAAGAAGGAGCCCAGGCCCCACCCCAGCCCTACTGATTCCGAATCTGCACCTTAACAAGATCCCCAGGTGATTCAAATGCACATTCAAATTGGAGAAGCACTGCTTTATTCTACCTTAGGCCTGGATGAATGAGCTGACAGGTGACCTAAGCAAAGGTCTGGCTTGGAAGCTACAGGGATTCCAAGGATCTGAGCCCAGAGGTCTGAACGTCTTCTCTAAATGTAGGTATGCCCAAAACTCGGTGTGTGACCTGGACATACTCTGTAACCTCTCTGGAACCTTAATTCTCCACCTGCCAGGATTAAAAAAGACAAAGGCCGAGACCCATGTGATGTATCAGTCCCATCATAACTGAGCCAGCGTTAAACCCAACTTGTTCTCCCCAGGAAAGGACATGTGCTGTCTTGATTTCACAGTAATAGGGAAGACAGTGCTGCTTTTATAGGTTACACGGGTGATTTTCAAGCCAAAAGACTTAAATTAAATGTCAGAGGTGATAAAGCACTTTCTACTTCAAACCCTGTACTCTGCCCTTAGTTGGCTGCTGTCGAACAGTCACCACAATCTGAGAACACTGGCTTGAGTTACCATAAGAGACCGTGCAGCCCCTTAAAAGTATAAACTTTTAAGCCTAAGACAACCCTGTTGTCAGGAATGGTAAGGTCCAGTCCCACCAGGAGTCAAGAGAATGGGCCACCACCATCCCTTTCTAGCCTAAGAAATTTTATTAAGTTCAGGAATGGCTGAACTTCACTGCCATGACCTTCAGCATTGACATGGTTCATGTATTTTAATCATAAGGTAAAGGCCTCCAAGGGATGCCTTAACCCAGTGACTCTCAGTGTGTGGTCCAGGGACCTCTCCAGGGGTCCCCAAGACCTTTCAGGAGATCTGCAAGGTCAAAACTATTCTCCTAATAACACTAAGACATGAGTTGCCTTTTTCACTCTCATTCTCCCACAACTTACAATGGGGTTTTCAAAAAGTTACATAACATGTCATGACATCACCACCCTGATAGCTAATGGAATGTGTGCTTATGTATTCTTGTATTTTACAAATTTCTCAGTTTTAATTTCTAATACACTAAATATTAACAGACACCATCCACATAAACAAAAGCTCTTTGGGGTCCTCCATAATATTTAAGGATGCAAAAAGGTCCTGACACCTAAACGTCTGAGATCCCTGCCTAACTGCTTCAGAGAGAGTTGGCTCCCCTCCTCACTGACATGGAATCTTGTAAAGCAAATGTTCCGTCTCCTGATCTCCACCATTCCCCTGCTCTTTCCCATCCGAGAAAGGGCGAGTCTTATTTATTAGCTATCAGTGGTGCCTTTGCAAGGAGCTCACACCAGGACAAACTGCTCCCTGCTTTTCCAACCCAGCCAGGGAACAACTACAACCAGGATACACTCGGTGATCACACTACTCAGAGCAGTCTCCTTCAGTAGCTAGGAGACTCGGAAATGACAGCTTCTCGGCTGACTCCGCTCGTGGAAACTCCTGCCCTAGACCTGCCCTGGGAACTCCACAGCTGGAGGGCACCTAGGAATTAGGCCCCAAGTTTCCAAAGTAACCTGTGATTCCTCAGAACAAAAGAAGATTTAGAGGGAGGATGTAGTCGTTCCCAAAGGAAGATGCACAGAAGTAACAAGACACTCGAGTACCTCTTCTCACTGGAAACGGAAAGTTTGAAAACTTAGATTTTCTTCTAGACTTCCGGGAATGATGCTCTGAAATATTCTCACCAAAGGGCTTTGCGCTGTCCACCTGAAAGTAAAGGAAAGAAAGAAGACTTGAATCCACCGTGGTTTGTATTACCCTCTCCTCATTACCTGATATGCCTTTCTCCCCTTCAAGCACGGGTGAGGCAGGTGAGAAAAGAGAAGGCTGGCAACAAATTAAATCACAGTCTCCAAGTATGTTCACTGTAATACCCAGTAGGGGAACCTGTCTGTCCCTATCTTCACTGAGGCTACAACAGGAAGATACGGGCTAAATGTTAGCATAAAAAGCTAACGTTGGACACAAATTATATTCTAATCACTGGTAAGGATTCAGCCCAAGAAAGTGAAGTTTATTTCACAGTCTTTTAAAAGAGGGCAGTGTTTCATGTTCCTAAACAGTCTGAGCAGTGCTGGCCTAGATGGAGTCCTCCCTGAAGACAAGGGATTATCACAAGGTAACACTTCAGCCTTCCACATTCCCTTCCAGTCTAACTGTCTATATCCCTGAAAAAAAAGAATAGTGGTGACTGTATTATTTTACTTAAGGTGACCATATTTCCCTAAACTGACCTGCAAACAGGTCGAAATAGTTGAAATAGGGACTCTTCCAGAATATCTATGACATAGAGTTGCTGGATGTTTTTTACCTTGTATATTTCTGGGTTGTTTTTGTTTTTGTTTTTTTAATTTTAAGAAGGCATGTTATAACATTACTCTTCATTCTACTTCAAGTAACATATTCACTAGAATTTACAGTCTTGCAGGTCCTCTAAATTTTAATGCTTCTACTTAAAGAAATACCAGATATCATCAGGAAATCTGGCTAAATAAAAGAGTTAATATGTATAAAACACTTAGAAAAGAGCTTGATACAGTAAAAGCCGTACAAGAATTTATTAAATAAAAATATCAAGCAAGTTTTAATTCCCTAAAAAATCTACCCAAGATTTTAAGGTTATTTAGCCCATAATGGCATAGACTAAAGTTGTATTTTACAAAAATTTATATCAAATGGAATAAATCAGACTGTCCAATAAATTCAATTCAACAATATTTTAATGAAGCCACGCTTAAGGATTGCTAGACATGTTTTACTTAAGGTGACCATAAACATGTTTAAAGATGTTGCTAGATTTTTGCCAGACATTTGTACCCAGGTCACCATGAAGAAAACAGCTCTTTTGTAGTTTCTAGCCAAGCATCTCTGTTCTACCTACAAACCAACTCTATATACGGCCATCTCAACAGCACCTTGACTTTGGGATTTGCCATGCTTCATTTCTTGTGTCTAATACTCAAACATCATCCCTAGTGACTTTGAGTTAAATTATCAACTTGGCAATAATATCAATCGTTAACATTCTGGAGAATGAGTCATGAACTAGGACATGGAATGTTGTTCATGAAGAACATGAAATAATATAGGAAATGCTTTTAATGTAATATTAACTGCAAATATCAAGAAACTAATCTGTATACACAGTATAATTACAACTTTGTGGGAAAAAATAAAGCCTTATAAATACAAAAAAGGTGAAAAAAGGCATCAAATTAAATAAAACAATTTTATTATGCTGGTGAGCCTATGGGTAATTTTTTTCTTGAACTTTTCTATATTTTCCATTACTTTTATAGTAGTCAAAAAAATTTAAGGAGACTAAGAGAACCAGTGTGATTAAATTTGCCCACTACTTCCTGAGGGCTAAATCTAAGATAACTTTAATTAAGGGCTTTGAGTACGGCACATCATTGCTTCTCCCTGTAGACACATTTTTTTCTGCTCTTTGAAGTATTGGCCACTGAGCAACAAACTCATTAAGAAAACTCAAGGAGTTTTCTTTAAAACTGATGAAGCTTTAGTTTTAGATTGGTACAGAGTATATGCCAGCCTTTGTTATGTGTCTCCTACCCCTCTCAGTTCGCTGATTCTTCTGGATAGTGGCGGGTTATCATATGCAGACATTATACTCTATTAATAATTTTCAAAAATTAAAAATAGGGATGGCTGACATATACGGAGCAAGTCCTCTGTATAAGACATCTTTATAGGAATTTCCTAACAATGACTCTAGGAAATGAACATAATTTAATCATTGTTATTATTCAATCTGAATTCCCTCTTTATTCAATATCACCCATTTGTTTTTATGGCCCAATCTTCCAATATTCCACACTCAGTCACACCCTCACCATTCCAAAGGACTCTGAAAAGTAATTTTAGGCTCACATGTCTAACCACAAATGGAGGTTTGCTTTGTCTGGAGATTTTGAAATTATTTCCAAAGTTCAGTTGAGCTGGCTGGTCCTGGAAGAAACGCCTGGTGGAATATGGAGAGGGCGCACGGGATTGCATGCTTTGGGGGAGTCTGTCGAGATTACTCTCCTTTGGCTTCACCTTTATATCACTCAAGGGGAATTTTGGTCCATATGAAGTAGATAAGGGCTTTCTAGACTTATACCTTTCTTCCTAAAACAAAACAAAAAAAAAGAAACAATATTATTAAAAATGAAAAGGAAGAAAAAAAGAATAAAATTCAACTAGAATATAACTATTTAATTGAACTTTGTTTAACTAAGATAGAAGATTGAACATCTCAGATTTATAAAACGTGAACTTAAGGAAGGACATGTCTCTACTTAATTTATCTTCAGTTCAAATTAACATCACTAGTATTTATTACTTGCTAGTATAATATATTTCAACTAATAACTGTGAGATTTATTTGTATTAGAAGAAGGTTGGAAAGTATCTGACAACCCTCGTCATAGGTAGACAATTGATAGATATAAACAGAGATAGAGCGAGAGAGAGAATTTGGCATACGCTCAGATCCAGTAATTTAACTTCAAGGAATTTATTATAAGGAAATAATTATGGCTATGTGTATAGTTACAAAAATTCTCATAACAGTTCAAAAACTGGAAACCAACTATATTGGTGAGTAAGCAATTTCCTCTCAGCTCCAAACCCAGCTTTCTGTACTCAGCTTCACGACACTGGGGCTGGCACTCTGCAAACCCCCTTCCTGCTCTTCCAACTGTTCTGCTAGGCTCCACCACTAGAAGGCACTAGAGGGAGACTGCAAGACTGGAGGAGGAAGACGGTACTGGTGACTTCCAGTTTTGCATTCTATTCCTGTCAGCGTCACTCCACCAATCATTCTTCACCTTGGCAGCAGCAAATTGTTCCAGTTTATAGTTTCTTCCCACAATACTCCCTGAACTAGCCTCATTGTGCCCCCCTCAGACACACCAGCACCAGCTGGCCAGAGCCCCCAGCTCAGAAATTTGAGTGTAGCCCCATGGGATCCTTCCTCCAAGTTCCTAAGGAACCAGCAATGAGCAGTGTCCCTCCTTAGAGGTCTGAGTCCCAGCTCATCAGAGTCCCACCTCTGAATTCCTAAGGAAGCACCCAGGAAAGCAGCCCCTCCATAGGGGCCTGGGTCCCCTTTCTATGGGGTCTCTCCCTCAAATTCTATGCTCTTGATGACCCAACCTCTTCCCTTTGTTCCCCCAGCCCTAGGGGTGGAAGCTGCTTCCTGCAGTTACTACCTCCATCACATCAGTGTTCCCCTTTCCTTTCAATCTTCTAACCCCTGCCTAGCCTTTTTTTTTTTACATTCATCTTTCTGTTAACATAACAGGGTGGTTTGTTTTCCTGACTGGACCTTGACTGATATATCAGTTTACTATCCAATAACAGGAAAATGATTGGCTAAACAAATCATGGTATTTCTGTATGATGGAATACTATGAAGCCATGAAAAACTGCCTGGCATAAGAATACTTAAGGACATAAGAACATGTTCATGATATAGTAAGTGAAAAAGTAAGGTACAAAATAATACACAGTGTAGTATGATCCCAGTATTTTAAAATTAAAAAAGTGTGTGTGGGTGTCTTTACAGAAGAATATCCTCAAAAAAATTAGTAATGCTCATCTCTAGATAGTAAGAATGACAGGTACATTTTATTTTGTCCTTTTTGCTTATCTATATTTTCTAACTTTCTAAAATTAATGAGATACTTTTGTTATCAGAAAAAACAATAAAAGCTATTATTTAAAAAAAATACTACTTAGAGGAAGACCTATATTAACAGGTTAAAACAAGATTAAAATGGTGGAGTAGAAGAAAAAGAATGATAAACTGAAAAATCACCGTGCACACATATCAAACAGATTAGAGAAAATAGTGGATAAATAAGGAAAAACTGAAAGCAGAAAATGCCTTCCTTAAAAGTAATCACTGGTCTCCCATTATACGAGTTCTGATGCACAGAGGATTGGTAGATTTGCACAGATTAGTGACCGTTTGCATTCAGTACCCCTTAACCCACAGCCTACATTTTCAAGGTATTTTCCAGGACACCAGGTGGGATTTGAGATGACAAGTATTTGAAGAAGCTTTACAAATTACAATAATTCATTCTCTACTTTGTTTTAGAAAGGATTTTAAATGGTTACAAAATTATGTACAATAAGGTAAAAGAAACACATAAAGAAATCAGGGTAAAAGGGAAATTAGGGCTGACCAAGAGAGTGAAATGAGGTAGGACTCATGGATGCCCCAAGACCCTTCATGATTACCAAAGATGGCCCACAAATACAACTCTGAGCTTCAGCCTCAGCAAAAAAAAGAAGGAAACACTATTGTTCACAAGATTAAGAGTCAAGTCATACAACAACAACATTGAAAAAGCTAACTAGCCTGCTTACTAGTGATTTTAGCTTTTGTGTCACTCTATTCCATCAACTATATTATAACGAATACATGCCCAACATACATACTCTAATGTGATAGGCTGAACAAATAGTTTGAATACAGAAATTCAAACCTAGCAATAAGTCTCCAGGTTTCTATTCATCCAGTTGCATCTAAACTTGGTAAACCAAGTTTGAGCTGAAATTCTTTAAATTTTTGGAGAAGATTCCAGACATTTCTATCACTGGCTTCTTGATTATACTTACAAGAAATCTGTTTCTGTGCAGAAACACACATTCTCTGATGGCTGTCCTTGTAGAAAACTCTATTTTGGGAGCAATGCCCTAAAAATAAAACAGCATAAAAGAAGCAAATAAAATTATTGGAAACAGGTTCTTTGCCCATCCCACCCCAACTTGAAATCTTGCAAGAACTTAATTGCTTTTTTGTGTGGTTGGCATAATCCACACACATAATCTAAAATATATACGTAATAAATATCTATCCTATAGAATATTAGTCAGCCTTAAAAAAGATGGAAATCTTGCCATTTTAAGACAACATAGAAAAACCTAGAGGACATTATGCTAAGTGAAATAAGCCAGACACAGAATGACAAATACTATATGTCTCACTTACATGCGGAATCTAAAATAGTTAAACACATAGAAGCAGAGAGTAGAATGGTAGTTGCCAGGGGCTGGAGGATGGGGGAAATGAGGAGATGTTGGTCAAAGGGTACAAATTTTCAGTTATGGAAGATGGATAATTCTGGAGATCTAATGTACAGCCATGTGACTACAGTTAACAATAGTGTATTGTATATTTGAAATTTTCTAAGAGGGTAGGTCTTAAGTGTTCTCACACAGAAAAGAAAAGAAAATGGTAACTAGTAACAATGTTAAGTGATGGATATGTTAATTGCTTGATTGTGGCGATTATCTCACAATGTATATGTATATCAAAATATCAAGTTGTATACCTTAAACGTATACAATTTTTATTTGTCAAGTATACACCAATAAAGCTGAAAAAATAAAATATAATATATGCATAATAAGCATAGCTAAACACCTATGTAATATGTCTTATGTGCTAGGCCCTGACCTAAGTGCTTTGCATATATTAACTCATCTCATCCTCACAACAACCCCATGAGGTAGGTCCTAATAGTACCTCTGCTTTGTAAATGAGTAAACTAAGACACAGAGGGTTTAAGTAACTTGTCCAGCCAGTAACGACAGAGCTGGTAATTGAACCCACTCATTCTGCTCCAGTGTCCTTGTGGTTAGCTACTCTACTTAAAACACTGGACCATGGTATTGAATGAGATTACGTAGGGGGATGGATGGATAGAGGTTCTCCTTCCCTATCTACTTGCTTTGAAAAACTTCCTTTATATCTTGTACCAAATACTTATGTTCACTAGATCTATTCCCAAACTCTTCATTTTGTTTCATTGATTGATACTTCTATTTTTTCTAGTAGCATATTGTCTAAAATATTGTGATTGATATATATATATATGTAGGATAGGAAATATATATATATAATCTCTCCTATCCTATTTAATTGTCATAATCCTATAAGGAAGATACAATTATTATCATCATCCTATTTTATAAATAATAAAACTGAGAAATGGACAAAAACTGGAAACAACCCAAATGTTCTTCATAGTGAACAGATAAACCGCGGTATATCCATGTAACGCAATCCACCCATTAATAACAAGGAATAAACTACTGATACACACAACTACATGGATGAACCTCAAAGGCATTGTTCTGAGTGAAAGAAGCCAGTCTCAAAAGGTTACAGACTGTATGAATCCATTTATGTGACATTCTCAAATAGGCAGAACTATAGTGATGGAGAACAGACCAGTGGTAAGGGTTAAGGGGAGGATGTGCCTATAAAGGGATAACATGAGGGAGATTTGGGGGTGATGGAACTGTTCTATATCCTGATCATGGTGGTGGTTTCACAAATCTATACATATGTTAAAATTCATAGAACTGCGCATCAAAAAAAGTCAATTTTACTGTATAGTCATTTAAAAAATATAATTATTTTTCTAAAAAATCCTGAGGCTTAGAGAGATCTAAAGCAATTTTCCCAAGGTCACATGGCTTGTAAATGGCAAAACAGGGACAAGACCTGGATCTGACTGAGTTACACTGTCTCCCATTGACCCCACTGACTCACCTGCAGCCCCTCTGAGCACAACCCTCTGCTCTCCTTCCCCCAGAGACCACCACCTGGCCAGGTATTCCTTGTCCTGGGGGTGCCTTCCTTTTCTTCTTTTCCCATCCAAATCCTACCTGTCTCTCAAAGCCTGGCCTCACCCTAACTCCTCCAGGCATGCCCACAGTGACTTCTCCCTCTACCTCTTACAGTTCATATTCCTTTATATAACATACTCTGAGTACTTCCAAGAAGGATTTGCATCAGCTAAAGCCCCAGAGGGAAAGGAAACTGACATGTACTACATGTTTACTACACGTACCTGGTGCTGGTAGGGGCTTTAACATGTGTGATCTCATTTCATCGTCACACAACCCGTGGTAGAAAACTATACCCCCATTTTACATGTGAGGGAACAGGCTCAGAGAGACTAAATAGTCTGTCCAATGTCACACACCTGAGAATCGAGAAGAGCCAGATTTGAAACTTTCTTGGACAGCAAAGCCCAACTCTTTCCAGTACCACATGCTATCTATCCAGGGGTCCCTGTGGATCAACTAGTCAGCTTGTTTCCTGTGCATTCATTCATTCCTATGCACATTCACTCCTGTGCATTCATCTTGTCTACGGAACAAGTCCTTACAGGCACAACCTACATCCTCAGCTCCATTTTTTCTTTTGTTTTTTTGTCTCTAGAATGTACAGTATGCCCATAAAAGTGCTAGGCCTGGACTGGTGACTCAAGATTTCCGGGCTTATAAACACAAGAGCCTAGTTGCTGCACAGAGTCAGATAATACAGAGGGGCATTTGATAAAGAATGTACAATGATGTGACCAGCACAGCCTCACCTCTGGTTATCAAGATTGCCCACATGAGGAAGAGGGTAGCGGGAGTTCCAGGGTCCACGGCACTACTGGTAGAATCACAAGACCTGAGGTGTATGCCAAGCCCCAGGTCCCCTGTGGCCCAGAGCCTGAACAAGTTACCTGAGCCTGAACAAGTCATCTCCTAAGTCACAGACTAGTCTTCTCATTGCCTCACAGGGAGACAGTATTAACCCTGGAATGACAGTATAGCCATACATCACTTAACAATGAGGATATATTCTGAGAAATGCCTTACTAGGTGATTTCGTCATTGTGTGAACATCATAGAATATACTTACACAAACCTAGTTGGTATAGCCTACTACACACCTAGGCTATATGGTACTAATCTTACGCGACCACCATTGTATATGCAGTCTGCCATTGACTAAAAAGTTGTTATGTGGCACATGACTGTAATGTATCCAAAGTCACAGTCATTGAGTGACAATGAATTGATTGAACCCAGACAATCTGAGTCCACACTTAACCACTATACATGCAGCTGCCTAACAGATTTTCAAATTCCTGATCTACTTTGCCTAGAGAGGAGGAGGAGGGTCCCCTGCCAGTAAGGAATCCACACTCTGCATCACCTTCTTGTTCACCTATATGACCTCCACTCCTGGCAATGACTTAGAGACAATAAGGAAGAACATGTTTTCTTTTTCACACGAGTACTGATTTTAGCATAATAGTTGAGGGTTGAAATTTACAGGCTCTATCTGGTGCAACCTCCTTAGCAATGGCATGATGGTGATGATGGTGAGGTCAATAAATGGATTTAACGCTAGGATTTTTCTAGAATCATTGCACTAAAGAAAAAAGAAAATTATTAACTAAAAGTTAATAATTAAAAAAAATATATTTTTTCTGCTTACTTTACAAATTAAGCCTTCACCCAGCAAGAAAACAGATTATATTAAAAAAAAAAAAAATTCTTGACCTTAGCAGGAAAAGTGGTGGGCGGGGGGGAGCTGTTAGGATACCAAGTGAAATAAAACAAAATATGGAAATACAAAGAAAAAGTTACATTTTAGTGGAGGAATAAATCTAATTCTTAATGAATTAATAAATTAAGAGAAAATAAACGAAAGTGAATGATTTGCCTGACCTACACATGTAACTCATTCGCACGTCCTACAGTATTTATGAAAAGAAATTGGACACTGGGATGAAATAAACAAGAGAGAATTAGCATCGTGCAGGGACTAAGAGTGCAAACTTTGAAGTCCAACAGGCCAGCATGAGAATCCCTGCTCCATCACTCACCAGCTCTGAGACTCCAAGCACATTTCTTTTTTTTTTTCCCGAGGAAGATC